GATGCAGAACTCCGCTCGGGCGGAGGGAGAGGGGCCGGGGGACACCGGGGGGGGCAGGGCAGTACTGGGGGGAGATGGGGGTGTCCCCCCTCCAAGGAGGGTGGGGAGAGGGGCTAGGGGTGCAGACCCACCCCCACCCCAACTGGGATGGAGAGAGGGGCTGGTGGCTGCAGGGTGAGCCCCAGCCTCAGAGAGCCCATCTCACCTGGGTCCCATCCTGCCCGGGATGCTGAGCCTCATGGAGCAGGCAATGCAGACCCTGGCCATCCCAGCACCCGGGGGGGGGGGGGGGGACACCTGTCCCCATCACCCCCCCCTATTTTGAAGGGGCAGCCATGACTCGGCGCTGTTGGAGCCGCCCTGCCCAGGGGCAGAGCTGGTTAATGGGCTCGGGCCCCCCCTGGATGGTGAGGGCAGCACTTACGGGAAGGCTGCGGGGGTGTCCCTCCCACCCAGGGCCCCCCCCCCACCCCAGCTCTGCAGAGCACCCAGCAGAAACCAGCTCCATGCCAGGAGCAGCACGACACCACGTACAGCCCGTCTGCACCAGCCGTGCCCAGGGCCAGATCCTGCCCACGCACTCGGGGCTGGAGGGCATCTGCCGGGGCAGGTGAGGACAGCCCTGGCCTGAGCGGGAGCACAGCACTGGGGGGTCCCAGCCTCCCTGGGGGGCCGTTCCCAGGGGTCCTCACCCCACCTGGGGACCCACCCATGTGACAGGGACACCTAGGGACAATAGGATGAGGAGGGGGGACATGAACACCCCACCCCACCCCCCCCAGGGAAGGCAGCCCAGCAGACCATAGCCAGCTCACAGCACAGGACCCAGCCATGGGACCCCAGTTCCAGGCAGCCCCCCCCAGTCCAACACGTATACTAGCCAGCCACACAGCCAGCCCACACCAGCTCAGCCAGTACCCCCCCTCAGCCCAGGACATCCCCCCAGGTCACCATGCAGCAGATTGCGCTGGGACAATAAACGAGGCAAGTGTGGAAAGAGTCATTTTAATGAACAGCACCACAGTGTAACCAGTAGAAAAGACAAGGCACTAGTATTCCTCCCCCTCCTCTTCGCCCTCTACGCTGTCGGCCCCCACCTCCTCGTAATCCTTCTCCAGGGCAGCCATGTCCTCCCGGGCCTCCGAGAACTCCCCCTCCTCCATGCCCTCCCCCACGTACCAGTGCACGAACGCCCGCTTGGCGTACATCAGGTCAAACTTGTGGTCCAGGCGGGCCCAGGCCTCGGCAATGGCCGTGGTGTTGCTCAGCATGCACACCGCGCGCTGCACCTTGGCCAGG